GATGTTGGCTGTGCAGACTAAAAATAGCAGTCACTTTGTGGAATGGATCCCCAACAACGTTAAAGTGGCTGTTTGTGATATTCCTCCTCGTGGACTAAAAATGTCTGCCACTTTCATAGGCAATAACACGGCCATTCAGCAGCTCTTCAGTCGCATCTCTGATCAATTCTCAGCAATGTTCAGAAGAAAAGCATTTCTCCACTGGTATACTGGTGAAGGGATGGATGAAATGGAATTTTCTGAGGCGGAAGGCAACACAAATGACTTGGTTTCCGAATACCAGCAGTATCAGGATGCGAAAGCTGATGTAGAAGAATATGAGGAAGTGGAGGAGGAAGTCAGGGAAGAAGAAAAGGAAACAGCTTAAACAGAAAAGGCAATGACTGACTTTTGGTCTTTAAAAATAAAAATATTTTTAAAATAATAAAAATAAAAAATAATATATATTTTAATAATAAAAATATATTAATAAAAACTTTATTAATATAATATGCCAATTGTTACCAAAAAGGATCTGAAATCAAATGCAGGAACAACCATTGCTACGCATTAAGCCAAGTTATATCTAACTTTTTTTAAAAAATTAAATGCATTGCAGAACTAATAGCTTAGTGTTTGATTTAAGAGCTTCACTTTAGGCCAGGGGTGTCAAACTCGCGGCCCACTGGCCAGATGCGTCACATACTGGACACGCCCACCCCCAGTTTAGTGAAAGGGAGAAAAGTTGTGATATGCCATGTGATGTGTCATCACAAGTTTGACACCCCTGCCTTAGGCAATAAGAATTTCCTCTGAATCAGGGCCTTAATTTCAAACGAAGAAGCAAAGCTAGGCATATGACATGCTAAATGAAGAAGGCAGAAAACGTAATTGGTCAGCTTATAGATTTTGCTATATCTCTCTAGAACAGTAATGGATAACCTTTTTGTTGAGTGCCAAAAGTGTGCACATGCGCAAATGTGTGCATGTGCCTGCATCTATAATGCAATGCACGTGACCCCCCCATGCTCCCCCGCCCCCCTGCACATGCGCACGTATCTCCTGCATGCGCCCTGCCCCACATGCATGCATGGTAGATACCCCAAAAATCGGCTGGCGGGAGGTGCACATGCATGCGCTAGTGGAACTGAGCTGGGGCGACAGCTCATGTGCCCACAGAGATGGCTCTGCGTGCCACTTCCAGCACGCGTACCATAGGTTTGCCATCACAGCTCTAGGACAACATTTCTAAACTTGGCGACTTTAAAATATGTGGATTTCAATTCCCAGAATTCCCCAGCCAGTGTACACAACTTAAAAGTTGCCAAGGTAGAGAGATACACTGACTTAGAACCTTGTACTTGAATGTGCCAGCCAGCTTATTTAGGGGAAGGACCACTACGATTCCCATTTGTGTTTCACTCTTCTAGTATATTTAAGCTTCTGCAGATTTAAGATGAGCAGCCTAATAAATATAAGCTCTAACATAAGCCGTTAACAAGAGATTAAAAATTATTATCCCTTAAATCATTTAGCTGACCTGCATTTTATGTAGACTTTTGAACCTATTAATTGGACAGACATTCCTTTCACTGGATCAGCTCTCCTACATAAGGCAAGAAAATAAGATGGTGCAGGATGAAATTGAATGGTCCAAAGTTCCATCAGCTAAACATTCTGGAAAGGGTTCAACAGCCTTTACCCTTACCTACAAACATGTCAATTGCCTTTCAATACAGAGGTTTTATTTAACCATGATAGTTAAAAGCTGTTGATAGATCTTGTTCTTATTAATTTACCCAATCATTTCAGGAGTATAAAAATGATGGATTATGTTAATTTTGAATCAGTTAATGGAACACATTGGGTGGCACGGTGGCTCAGTGGTTAAGATGCTGGGCTTGTTGGTTGGAAAGCAGGCAGCCCAGGTTTAAGAGCTGAGTTCCCACGTGACGGGGTGAGCTCCCATCCTCACTCCAGATCCTGCCAACTGAGCAGTTCAAAAGCATGCAAATGCAAATAGATAAATAGGTACCCCTTCAGTGGGAAGGTAACAGCACTCGGTAACATCATGCTGGTCACATGACTGCGGAAATGTCTTTGGACAGCGCGAGCTCAATGGCCTTGAAACGGAGATGAGCTTTGCCCTCTTATGGCAATGACTAGCAGAATAAAATCCGCAGGGACTCCTTTATCTTTTTTAATGTAACACATTACTGGTAATCCTCAATTTATGGCTATTCATTTAGGGACTAAAGTTATGGCAGCATTGAAAAAAGTGACTTATGATTGATTCTTGCACTTAATGATTGTCAAAGTTCCCTGCAGTCATGTGATCAGTGGTGGATTCTCTTATCAACCATGGTGATTTGCTTAATGGCAGCAAAAAGGTTGTAAAATTGGATGCATCTCACTTACCAATTAACTCAATGGAAATTTCAATGCCAACTGTGGTTGTAAATGCAGACTTATCTGTATGTATTATGGGAATACTTTTTGTGTTTTGAATGTACTGTAAATTATAGTTCATTGTAACTAACTCCCAAATATCAACACGGAATTAAGATGACTACCTAAACTACCAAAGTCATTGCTAAGAACTTCAGTATGGAGAGAAGGGCCAGAGTTGATCCTTTAAATTACCTATTTTATACCGATTCGCTTGCAAAATTCACTAAACCAAATTTGCTTTGAGAATTTAATTGTAATTAAAAGGTTAAATACAGCCACTTAGAAGAATAAATACATTCTGGGAAAGAGGAAGTACTACTTAATGTATCAGAACATGTTTTATGTAAAGTATGCAGGTGTATATATGGAATTATGCTTCATATTAGTATATATATGTATATACACACACATATACATGTGTTGGTGTGTCCTAGGTATGTATAAAAATGTGAGTTTTCATTTGAGCAAAAGCCCCGAATTGTATATATTTTCTTATGAAAATGTGATAGCATTATTTACAAGATTATTAGCTATAGGATTTGTATATATATTTTGTACCAGGCTACAAAATATTAACTCTAGTCCCACTTTAGCCATAAAAGCTGGCTGGGTGACTTTGAGCTAGTCACTCTATCTTAGCCCAATCCACCTCACAGGGTTGTTGTTGTGGGGAAAATAGGAGGAAGGAGTGTCTGGTATGTTCACCGCCTTGAATTACTTATAAAAATAACAAAAGAAGATAAAAAATCAAAACAAAATTTCATTTATAGGACAGAAAATGTATTATATAATAAATCTATTGGCCTTTAAGTTGCTATAGGACTAGTAGTTTTTCTACTAAAGACTTTTCAAGGGAACTTTGTTGTAATTGCTTGTAGAAATAAGTTTGCATTTATCAACTTGATGTTAAGATGTTCTAAATGACATGCTGGTAGCAGAGGTTGGGAATTAACACACCTCAAAAGGTACCAACTATGGTAAGCTAGAGGCTCAAACAAAAAACTGGAGAGTGGATCAGAGAGGTCATCTGGTTTAGTTTTTTTCCCCTGTGTAGTATTCAATACTTTAAACCAGGGGTCTTCAAACTTGACAGCTCTAAGACTTGTGGACTTCAACTCCCAGAATTCCTCCTCCAGTCGTTAGCTTAGGCATTCTGGGGGTTGAAGTCCACAAGTCTTAAACTTGCCCAAGTTTGAAGACCCTTGCTTTAAACAGTAGCATTATGTAAAACTTTGCGCTAAACCAGCCCCCCCAACAGACAAGTCAGAGGCTGCCAGCTACAGTATTAATATACATTTCTTTTTATCTTGTACTTTTGTTTGTAGCATGTTGTGCAGATTTATCTTGAATGTTTACACAAAATATGCGAATATGAGAATCTCCATAGACATACACAATATTTATTTTCCTATAGTAGAAAACTAATTTTGCTAGCAGAAAAATTGAGAAATACTTTTCTTATGCTGCCATTTATTTTACTCGCATCATTCTAATTTTATTTAAGCTACTGTTGTAATGCAAGTATTATACAAAATCCAATAAAATGAGATTAAACAGAATTTGAATCCATTTCTATGAATTAAAACACGTCTTGGGGTTTACAATGTTAGTTTGTACGAATTAAATTTTTTTCACCATTCCTCAAAGGTTTCAGAAAAGGTTATCACTATAGAAGTGAAAACATTCCCATTTTCCCTTCTTTTTAAGTCCTCAACCAATCTGTAAAAGATAATGAATCATCACCTTAATGACTGGCACTGTATTACTTTCTTCGAATGCTCCATTGTGGTTGAAATGTTCAATTTTTGTTTCATCAAACCAAGCCATTTTTCCCCAAAACATTTCAGATTTATCAACATTTTCTTTTGCATAATTTAGTTGCAGAATTTGGGAGGAAACAAGACAAAAATTCTCTATCAATTCTCCCATGCAGATCACTGTTGGTGATCCATGGTGCAACTAATCTACTGAATTTATAAACTGCATGCAAATAAGAACCGACCATTCAAATTCAGAAGGAAAAGTCATTTAACTCGGTGCCATGTAGCAGTTGGTGGCAACTTCTCTTCTCTTGGAAATTCACTGAAACATACTATTTGACCACAGTAGAATGATTAGGGTAGCTAATTTTTACAGGAAATCCTATGTAGCAAAACTTCAATAGTAAAAGATTTAAAACTAGTTTCCATAATATTTTTCATGTATTAGATTTTTATGCCACTCATCTCATTGATACTGTGATTCTTTGAAGGATTATGAACTCACTGAACACAGCTTTGGAAGCTAACTGTTAACTACTTGTTGTCATAGGTTAAAAATGATTTTTATCCTGAATGCAGTTTTCTTGGCAACATCCACATTATTGCAAAGTTCAGCAGCATAGAGAATATGGAAAAAAAACAATGTGAGAAATACTAATAACACCAAGCTAATGTTAAGCCATTTTAAATCTAATTTCTTACACCACGATCAATTTTAAGAGTAACTGTTCTACTAAAAGTAAATGGAATTTGGAAGCACTTACAGTAGTTAGGATTGCAATGTGTTAATATCCATTCATAAAAAAACGCATCAGTGTAAGTTTAAAATATTCAAAATATCATATTAGTACACTTTCTTTGATAAAGATCTCATTGTATTCTTAAATTGCTTTGTTTTAAAGTATCACTATTACTTCCAGGATAAAGTATAGCTTTTTCAAATTTTAAAGGTACCTAAATAAGTGTGATTGTACATCTTTGTCTACATATCTAGTAATAAATTAATCAATAGAATTTAATTCCAAGCAAGCATGATCATTTAAGTTATCGTTAAATTCTTTCACTGAATATTTCCTGTTGATTTTCAATATTTCTCTACCCCAAAGGATTCAAACATCTTCTGTAACCAGTGACCTTTTTATTCAAAGCAGGCATTAAACTGAAAAAAAACTTTTTAATAAGTTACTGTCCAATAGAACTTAGGCTGCTTAATTCCTTGAAGAGTTATTTTATTATTGCTTGATAAAACATAATCACTAAAATCATTTGCATTAAGTTTCATTTATTGGCATGGTTCATATATATATATACATGGTGGTTTCACAAAATGGGAAGTGGCTGTCCATAAGTATACCAACGAGTTGTCATTTTTCCTTTTAGAGAATGGGTTCTGTAAAGAGAGATAAATATACAGTAAGAATTTAAAGCAGCATAGAATGTGAATTAAAATTGATAGCTTGAGAACTAATATCAATGTACCAGTCCCTATATTCTTTAAGTATTATCCAATTAAATCATTCCATTGCTTCAATGAGCTGATATGCAAAAGGTTAGAACTTGGAAACACTGAAATTGTTTCCACATCTTTGAAACACACACATGAACCTCCATCTTCCTTTGATGTATTTGCTTTAGCAATTGTTTTCAGCACTGGGAGTCTCCTATACTGAAGCTGAATAAGGCGACAGATGTAGGATGAGGCATTGTGCAAAACTTGGATAAGACAGAACTGCACGAAGCTTCTCTCTACCTTAGCATGCTAGCTATTTCCAGTGCTGGAAGTTCCACTTCAATTGGTTTTTGTATTATAAAACAAGAAAATCTTGGCCATTGTCTGAGAAGGCAAAATTCATTGGAATAGCCTAACAGGAGGATAAATAAAATGGTTTCTGCCCATCCAGTTCTGTTCCTTGCAACCATATCCATTCAGTACTCTCATATCCATCTATTTAGAAACCATCCATCTCCCACACAGAGAGAAACTGAGTGGCATAAAAATGTTAAAAACATAGAAAATTTAAAAGCGAGGCAAGAATAGTTTAAAGTTCACCATTAAAAGTTAAGTAAAAGGTGAGGGGATCAGCCTTCAGAACACTAGCCAGCCTCGCAGTTATAGCACACTGAAGTTGTTATTTAATTTCACTGTATGATGTGCAATGACAATAAAGTAAACTAAACTAGTCTGCAAGCACCAAGCAAGATAGCAGAGACAGGACTTTAAATATTTTCAAAAGGCTGGGAAAGTGGGAATCAGTCTCACCTCCAGCAGAAATGTGGGGGGGTGGGGGGGGCAAGTTCCAAAGGACAGGAGCCACAGCAGAGAAGGCTCCCTTCCTAGGCCCCGCCAGTCGGAATTCTTTGCCTGCCTGAGTGGGATGGGCTGATGTAATGGGGTAAAGAAAGCTCACTAGGTAATTATAGGTAATCATAATACATTTCTTGCTGGAACTTTGAACGAAATATTCATCAAAAACCAATTCATAATAACCAATTAAATCACAATTTTTATGGCTGCATAATCTGCATAAACTGAATAAGACAAGATACAGTTTAATGCTGTAAAACTGTATACAGATCTGAGGGAAACAGAAATCTCTAGAACTTCTTTACTTACTTGTGTCATTCCTTTTTGGGTTTTATAATTTTTACATGGCTTCCAGCTGCTTTCTCTGCCTCTGTTTTAAACTGAGTTTTCAGGGCTGCTCTTACTGCTTCTGCACAGATCTGAGAGTAGCGGATGTAGCTGAAAGAAAAAAACAATATGGATCAAAAGAATATCCATTCCCTGAAGTTAACAGCTATGGAAAATTAGAAAAGCACCCTGGAAAACTGATTATAAACCGGGACTTCTGATAAAATGGGACGTAGTGCCTTGGACATTTATTCAGAAGCACATTCTGAAGGTGATACTGAAGTCAACTGAAAAATGGCCATTGACAACTCTACTCTAAATGTTAATTCCGTTAAAGCCCTCTAAATTGACGGCCTTTACATCTTCAGGTGTTACTGGTTACCCTCACAACTGTCTATAAGCGATAGTGGGTTATTTTCCATCTTTCACACCCTTGATGCATCACCACCTAGCTTTTTCTCAGCCTGTCTTGAAGAAGTATTTTGCAACCTCCCCCCATGCCCATAGATAAAAGTTTTCGATCAGTGTGTGCTATCTACTCATACCTACACCTAAAAAGGTAAAGGTTCCCCTCGCACATACTTGCTAGTTGTTTTCGGCTCTGGGGGCGGTGCTCATCTCCGTTACAAAGCCAAAGAGCCAGCACTGTCCGAAGATGTCTCCGTGGATATGTGGCCGGCATGACTAAACACCGAAGGTGCACGGAACACTGTTACCTTCCCACCAAAGTGGTCCCTATTTTTCTACTTGCATTTTTACATGCTTTCGAACTGCTAGGTTGGCAGTAGCTGGGACAAGTTATAGGAGCTCACTCCATTACGTGGCGCTAGGGATTTGAACCGCCAAACTGCCAACCTTTCTGATCGACAAGCTCAGCATCTTAGCCACTGTCCCTTATTACCTACACTAAGTGGACACTAATTTCACAACTGATACAAAAGCTATGAATGGCGCAAAGAACCATGGAAAGATACATGCTAGGTATAACAAGACAAGATAGAAAGACCAGCAACACATGGATTAGGGAACAAATTAAAGTATAGATCATCAAGAGAGTAAAAGAACGGGAATGGAAATGGGCTAGTTATATAGCAAGAACAATAGATGGCTGGATCCATGAAAGAGTCCTAAAACAAGATGGAGCAATGAGATCAGCAAGTTTTGCGGGCCCAATTGGCAAAAGAAAGCTCAGGATCATATGGGTTGGAAACACGCGGAAGAGGCCTTCATCCTGCAGTGCAAGGGTCTCCAAACCTTGGCCACTTTAAGACTTGTGGACTTCAACTCCCAGAATTTATTTGTCAAACATGTACAAGATAACAAGTATAAGTATGAACATAAACGTGAACAATACAGATAAATGGGGACAGTAAGACAGGGACAGTAGGCACGCTGGTGCGCTTATGCACTCCCCCTTTAAGGACCTCTTAAGAATGGGGTGAAATCCACAAGAGACAGTTTGAGGTTGAAGCTGTGAGGGTTTGAGGCTGTAACATTGGAGTCGGGTAGGTTGTTCCAGGCGTTGACCACTCTGTTGCTGAAGTCATATTTTCTGCAATTGAGTTTGGAGCAGTTTACCTTGAGTTTGTATTGGTTGTTTGCCTGTGTATTATTGTGACTGAAGCTGAAGAAGTCATTGACAGCAAGATGTTATAGCAGGCAATAGATCGGACCGCAGGGGCGCAGTTCTAGATTGTTCAGGCCCAAAATTTCGAGCCCCTAGGCATAGGGAATTCTATTATGGGTGGAGGTTCTATTGTTAATTAATAATAATTAATTGTTAATTAGTTAATTTCCCATTAATTCCATTGTAGGTGAATTCTGGGAGTTGAAGTCCACAAGTCTTAAAGTTGCCAAGGTTGGAGACCCCTGTTGTAGTGGATAAACAATGGCTAAAATGACAATAGTGATAGCACTTAGACTTAGGTATATAAGTCTTTAAAGTACTTTACAGCCCTTTCTAAGCTGTTTAGAGTCAGCATATTGCCCCCAACGATCTGGGTCCTCATCCTTGATAGATGACAGGTATCTCAGTCTGGGAATGAGATTTTATTGGGGTTCCCCCCCTTCCTTTTCTAGAATCATAGAATTACAGAGTTGGAAGGGACACCTTGGAGGTCATCTAGTCCAACCCCCTGCTCGAACAGCAGAGAGTGTTTATTCCAACTATTAGCCACTACCTAGGGTCGAACTTACAGCCTCCTGATGGTGAGAGGCGAGAGCTCCGCCTCTAGGCCACCGGAACTGAGGATTAAAAGGATTTAAAAAATTAAAATTAAAAAACAAGGATTCTGCATTAAAAGGATTTAATTTGCAAGATGGAGAGGAACTACGGAAGCTTTACGCGAGCTTTCCATCTAAGGCGCCCGAACACCAGGGGATCGGCGGCTTCACAAGACGAGCCTGGGGCGGGGGGAGGGGAGGAGCGAGGGTATTCTGAGGGCGCGGAGGTCGGGACTGCCCCCTCCAGCCGCCCACCTACCTGAGCCCCGCTTGCCTCCAGTAAGACACCATGACGGCTGCTTTGCTTAGTCGAGGAAATCGCCCGCCCAAGGGCCGCAAGGTCGCCCAGTCAAACAGCGGGAGGCTGCTTCGCCGGAGTCTAACCCGGAAGTGCTGAAAGACCCGGAAATGAAAACCAAACCGACCAATCAAAACTCACGTCGGATCCATACCCCGTTCGACTGACGGGCTATTTACGGTTCAGCTATTTTCATTGGTTGCGTGAGCTTAAACCTTCGATGAGCGTAAAACCTATCCTCTGGAGCAAAGTTGGCTGAGGAATTCTGGGAGTTGAAGTCCACAGGTCTTAAAGGGGCCCTGGTCTGGAGGAATCGAAGAATTTCGCCCACGTGGTCTAACACCCTCTGGGGATCGCAGCGCCGCAGAATTTGGAAATTCCGAGTTGTTGGTGGCGGTGGCTTCGTTTCGTATTGTTGCAATGATTTATTTTTCTTAGCGTGCTTTACATCTTTTATTAATCAAAGTTATCAAATTTCTACACCACCCATCTTTATCTGAGCGACGCTGGGCGGTTTTAGAAATAAAAAGTGTAACGCGATGTGGAAAACAGAATTAAAAAGCAATTAAAAGCGAAATTAAAATCGCAGGTTAAAAGTTAAGAGGCGGAGGGAGCGCCCTCAAGCATGACCATATTAAGAGCAACTGCATTCTCTTCGCTGATGATGTAAAGCTGTTCAACACCACAGACAATACTACTACCCTTCAAAAAGACCTTGACTATGTATCAGAATGGTCAAACAAATGGCAACTTCAAATCTCAACAAATAAATGCTCTGTCTTTCATATTGGCAAAAAAAATCAGAAAATAAAATATAGGCTAAATAGTCAAGACCTTGTTGATGATCCAAACTCTGTCAAGGATCTTGGAGTACTCATCTCTAATGACCTAAGTGCTAGAGCCCACTGTAACTACATAGCCCAAAAGCATTGAGTTGTTTAACCTATTCCTACGAAGCTTTTTCTCTGGTAATATCACACTACTAATTAGAGCATACAAAACATTTGCTAGACCAATACTCGAATACAGCTCATCAGTCTGGAACCCACATTACGCATCTGATATTAGCACAGTTGAGAAAGTCCAGAAATATTTTACAAGAAGAGTTCTCCACTCCTCTACTGGTTGTAGAATACCTTATGCCACCAGATTCGAAATTCTAGACCTAGAAAACCTTGAATTACGCCATCTTCGGTCTGATCTAAGTATGGTATATAAAATCATACATTGCAATGACTTACCTGTCAATGAATACTTCAACTTCAACCATAACAACACAAGAGCACACAACAGATACAAACCCAGGGTTAACCGCACCAAACTTGATTGCAGGAAATATGACTTCAGCACCAGAGTGGTCAATGTCTGGAATACTCTACCTGCCTGTGGTTTCTTCCCCAAACCCCAAAAACTTTAACCTCAGACTGTCTACTATTGACCTCACCTCTTTCCTAAGACGTCTGTAGGGGGTGTGCATAAGTGCACCAATGTGCCTACCATCCCTGTCCTATTGTTTCTTTTATTTTTCTTACATGTACCCATTTCATGTATTCATAACTATGTATATACTTATACCTATTATCTTGTAAGCAATTGACAAATCAAAACAAATAAATAAATAAATAAATCCCAAAATCTCCCGACTGTAAAGCCTACAAACTTGAAATTTGGCACATATGTTCCTCTTGGCTTCTAGGTGCTTATTAAGAAAGGATTTTTCAAAATGACCATTAGAACATTAGTATTTCCTATATTATTATTAACATGCTGATGCTAAGGAGTTCTACTCCCCCTCCCCACCTGAAAAGAAATCTGTTTCAAATGCAAAACACAAGCAGGAGAGGAGTTTCAGTTTCAGAGCAGCAACCAGTTTTAGTACAGAACAATTGAGCTAAGCCATGCCCAGGCTCCTTACTGTCTCCTTGCTCACACAGCAAATATTGTTTCAGTTTCCAAACAGCCCTCAACTCTCACACACTGACAGGACAATAGCCAGATGAATACTGATGGATGCTGGTAAGCAGAGGCACAATTCCTCCCCCCTCCCCTTATTTTCCTCCCCCAAAACTAAGACTGACTAGTTTTGTAATGAAGCACGGGTATAGAGCTACTACCTTAATATTCCTTCATTGTGCTATTTCTTCAGCAACACCGGCCCTGTGGGTGAATTGGGATGAGAGATTGTCCTTGGTGCTATTGTGGCTTGGATGCAGATGTTTCGTTACTCGACTAGTGTTAGCTGAAGTGACTGGCCCAGTTACACAGCTTTCAAAACTTAAGATTTGGCTCCATGTATTTTCCTCACTGGTGATGTAAAATTGGGACTGCACTATGTAACTGTGCAGTGCTGATTAGCACATTTTCTCTGCTTCTGTATACAAGTAGTCCTCCAATTACAACAGTTCACTTAGTGACTTTTCAAAGTTACAACAGCACTTAGAAGTGACATATGACCCTTTTTCACATTTATGACCATTGCAACATCCCCATGGTCATGTGATCTACATTTGGATGCCTGGTAACTGGTTCATATTTAGGATGCTTGCAGTGTCTTGGGATCATGTGATTACCTTTGTGACCTTCTGACAAGCAAAGTCAATGGAGAAGCTTAACAACTGTGTTACTAATTTAACTAATTTGACTTACAGCAGTGCTTCCCAACCTGAGTAAATTATCCAAAATTGGGTGTTTTTTTTTCCTTTGGAAAACAGTACAGGAACCCATTACCCAATCATAACCAGGACTTTTTAAAATTTCCATTTAAACAATAAAGTGTTTTGCCTACATTGGGTAAAAGAACCTTTCTGATAATTGGTTTTTGATTGTAAAAAAATTGGGAAGCACTGATTTAGATTAACAAGGCATCCTGTCAAACCTCCTCTCTGTAACAGAAGATGCTTCTCCAAAGCTACTCTATTCTCCAGATTTAAGAAAATCATATAATTGTTGAATTATAAAGTTGGATGGAACCAGAAAACCTCTGTAGTATTCAGGAAAATTAAATTAACAAGAGGTGGGACATCCAGTCACTCCAGATGTGGAAAATGCACAATTGTAGGTAAACTGTTCCACTATTGTCCAATTCTTACTGTAAGGATATTTTTACCTATTTAAATAAATGTAGGTACCTGAAACTTATATTCATTATTTCTGGTATTAATTTCTATGGTAATATTTTCTCTATAGCACATTGACACACCTCTTCCCTCAGTTTTCTTCACATTGAAATAATTTCCTTTCCAAATTCCAAATTAAAAGCCAGCTTGGTTAAGGTGGCAGACTAGAAATTGGGGGACTGAGAGTTTTACAGATAGTCCTAGACCTATAACCTAAGTTGAGATTGGAATTTCTGTCAGTCTTAGATGAAAGTGTCTGACAGGGATACTGTGATGGTGAAAATAGGAGAGAGCATTATATATGCACAAAATGAAATTGGTCTATAAATCCAATTAATCAAGAGGCCTTGGGATCAGAATGTGTATCTGAGCCCATACAATGACTGTTAATTTGTTACAGGAGAATTTGTTCATGTTGCTTTTAACTATTGTTAACTGCCCAGTGCCCAAAGGCACTGAGATGTGTGGCCATATAAACTGAAAGAGTGAATGAATGAATCAATGACTACTCAGTGCAGAGCCATTAATACAGATTCTCAGAATGTGAGTAGCCAACCAGTTGTGGAGCTATCATATGGAGCCAAACAAACTATACTTTAATGTCCCTAATACTGCTAGAGGTTTAGGGAAAAAAATAAAAAAGGGCTGATTGGGAAAAACAAAGAAAAGCAAGTCATACATAATTTAAAAAGGAAATTGAATATATGTAGAACTTCGGCAAAGAGTAGCCACAGGCTGCCGCTTTGACTTTCTTAAATGTATTAAAGCTTCTGGCAAAGACAGATCCTTCTCGCATACACCTACCCCTTTGGATTCAGTTTGTTTCTATTGTTTGAATGAGACCTTCTCCCCATTCACCATGGTCAACCTGGGCTGCTGCCATTCATCACTCAAGGAGGAGTATTTGACATTGAATTAAAACAGAGATTAGAGTATCAAACATTAACCTTTTTTAATAACATTGTCTCTATAAAATGTTTTTGAAGTTTTTAAAAATGAAAAAGACAAAACATAACCCAGTAGAAAAATATTTAACATTTAAATGCATTGGTAAATGTTTGCAATCACACCTCACCTCACAAGAATCAGTACCGTCTACTGAAATATTAACTTTTAAAACTAGCTTCAGGTATTACAGTATTTACAGACGTTCTTAAGAACAAAATATTAAATACCGCAGATGAGACTATTAAAGGAATCAGAATTCAGAAATTAAGATATGTCTAGAACTCATTAGTTCTTGCCATTTATGACAGATACCAGAGTTCTACTATTGTCCTGCTCATCAAGGATACTTAAATTTTACACTGTACCTGTATCACAGACATAAAAGCCTTTTGGGTGTTCCAGTTTTTGACTACATAAATACTCCTCTGTGAAGAAAGGACTACTTTGAAATTGTAAGGGAACTATTCTTTTACTTATGGAATTTAGATATATTTGTTCTGAAGTACCTAGACTTCTGTAGATAGAAGGTAGGGCAGTATGGATATATATTAAGGAACAAAACAAAATCTGTTTACGTGTGTATATGTAAAGAGAAACAACAAAGTATAATTTAAGAGACTTCAGTTGTCTGGAGTACATAAATCATGATTATGCATTTTAAAAGGGAAGAGTGGATTTCTTCCTATAAATGTAGTAATTATACAATTTCTGATTCTTAGAAAACGTGGGACCAAAATGAATTAAGTTGAACAAGTTGTATTGTTCAACACTTTAACTATCTTATCAACTAGAGACTTTGAAAAACTGAAATTGTAAGCCACTTTTAGTTCGTATCTAATTATATAGCATGCGATTTCTGTTACATTCAGAATAATTTCAAAACGGTGGAACTTCTGTAAACATGAATGTTAAATATCAAACTTCTCAGGTTAGCAAATGGTAATTTTCATGAAAACAGCCTATAAAAAAACACTTTAGATCCTATTTCAAGTAATAGTGTTTGTTCTTCAAAGCCGAACCCTGTAACAAACTGCTCAAAATCTTGTGCCCAGAAT